ATGTGTAGAATGCACATAACCACACTGAACTCTGGTCTCAAAGGAGTTAAACAACGTTTACATCTGCACATGCAATGGCACATTATTTACTGTTAGGACACTTCAATTTAAATGCAAAGAACAAACCCTAATGTCTTGCCTGTAAAGGATGTATTTTAAAATGAGTATAAATTGGGCACGTTGGCAAAAGTTGGAACAGCGAGTATTTCTCAGTGGGCAAAGTTTCTGGCAGAGGAGGATACTGAGTCATACCCACCGTGTTCCAGCTTGGTCAGAGAGAAAGGGTCACTCTGTTCCTCTTTCAGAGAAAATCCTAAGGGAGATAAGCGACATGAGAACAGAGCCTCATTAGGAGGGCCACCAAATTTTCTTCCCACTTTCTCCAACTTGAAGAGCACCTGCCACAGGGCCACTACCTAGTAGTGGAAAATAGAGAGAAGCAGTCACATATGGAAAACAGCCACCCAGCCAACATCTAATCAGAAGGCTGAAACTCTCCAGTGCATTGTAGCAAGCAGTTAATTTGGCACAACGGGTGAATCATCTAGCTGTTGCACATGAACCAGATTTTAAGACAACGAAGATAGTGGCAAAGCACTGCAAAGAACATCCCAGTAGCAAAGACCAAAATAAGTCAGTCCTAGCATTTGGACAGTATATATAGACAGAAGAGATGGCCATCTACAGCTGTTTTATTATAGGGAAAATGCAGTCTTAGAAATAGCCCAATGAGAAGGATTTTTTTTTTAATGAAAGTGGGAGGCATAAAACCAAGACAAAAATAATGCAGCCAAGTGAAGCAGTTAGGGAAAATGAACCATTGCTCAGTAATCAATGGCTGACTTCAGGTCTGGAGTAGAGACAAGATAACCTTAGAATATCCTCTACTGGGTTGTGAGAAAGCTTTCTCCTTAACTGAGGCTGTATAAAATGTTTACCAAACAAGGACAAAAGAGTACTGACTACAAAATGGACTGAAAGAAATGTATGAAGATCCATAAATTCTGCTTTTTGTTTGATATTTTCTCTGAGAAAGGTCTTGCTATGTAGTCTAAACTGCTCTAAAACTCACAATTCCTCCAGCTGGGATTACAAGCATATTATCATCCCACCCTGCCAGGATACATATACTCTTAATGATACTTAAAAAAATCAAAACTCTCAGGTTTATCACTGGAGGTTATTAAGAGCATCAAATAAATACTGTGGAAAGTGATAAAGGGGGAAAAATCAGGCATTTCTTGTTTTTCTTAAATAATCTGAATTTCAGGAGGTTCAAACAATTCATAAGCCCAGGTTCCTTACAAACAATATTCCAATTAGAAAATACAAGAGGAATGGTGGATTTTGATTGTCACTATTCTTGCATCCCCTTATAAGGTGAATATGCTACAACAATTTAGGAAGCTAACATTATTAGATGAAAGGTAGAAAGGTAAGATTATATTGCCGGAACCCACTAATCTATCTTAACTGCTCTAAATAAGAGCTATCTAGACATTATGAGTCTCAGGATGTAATGTACTAGATTTGACACAGCACCATGTACAAATGATACTTGCTTGTGAGCCTAAATCTACTCCAGCCTCCTATCTACTTGCCAGATGATAGGGAATGCAGTAAATAGAATAAGTTAAATGATACCACAAGCAAAGAATCAGTTCAGAAAGTGGGGCATGGTCCTGGACAAATGGTCCACTCTCTCCTGCAAATCAACAGCATGAAAAAACAAAGTGAAAACTATGATAAAATAAAATAAGTTGTAAATAAATGTAGAAACCTAACAACCAAATGTTTCCGAGTCTAACAATCATTAAGTAGCAAGATATCTTTGAGAAAACTTGAATTTGGTAATTATATTAAGGAATTGTTAATATCCTTAGGTGTGAAAGGGGCCAAAAGGGTTTTTTAATGTTCCTATCATATGAAAACAAATATAATTGAGAAAATATGGTGTTTAAGATTTTGCTTTAAAAGACATCAACCCCTACAAGTAGAAATAGAAGGGGGAGGAGATGGGGGAGAAGGAAGAGGAGGAGGAGAGGGAGAAGGGGAAGGGGGAAAGAAATGAAAATAAAAAGAGCTGGCCAAAATGTTAATAACCATTGAAACTTGGGGGCTTATTATTCCATTCTCTTATCATCTCCATTATATAATTTTTAATGATTAAAGGATTGGATGAGAATTCAAGCTGTGCCTTGCCTTGCCACTGATTTTTAAGAGGTGGCTAGGATCTTCCTAGAAAGTAAAACTTAATTGTCTCCCCACTTGTCTAAAAGAGGTACAGGGTCTTAATCAGTATGCATGGTGAATTCAATGCAATTAGAAATGACTGAACCAAGAAACCAAGAAACTCTGCTGTATTAACCCAATGACAGTTTAATTTGTCCCAGTAAGAGAGAGCCTGCAATACACCTGGGTTGAACAAGACAAGCTACAAAGAACTAAGTTGATACTAGACTGTCTAGATTAGCAGAAGCCCAAGATGGCACACACAGTGAATTAGAACCACACCTATTAGAATAGAGCCACACATATTCCTCAACCACATCTTTGTCAACAAAAGAGCTGAACACTTTCCATTTGTGTAATGCACAAAGCTGCTACTTTACCAGTGGAAATAGGTTTTGTTAACTGGCCTGTGATCATCCAGCCCCAGTCTGGAGCATCTCCAGCCAATGGACACAAACCTGAAGGTGCGGAAGAGGATAGAAGCGTGACTGCTCCGCACCAGCATCACTTCTCTGACCAGGCATGGTACCAAGCCAATCCCAGGGGTTTGCCACCAACCAGTCCGGAACGTATTTTGCCTGTTTTGAGCAAGCCCATTCTGGTATAGACAAAAAGCTAATGTGCTCCACAAAATTCTTATGATGAAGTCCAAGCCTTCATTGTGATGGTAGCGATGAGGACTTCGGAGATACTGAGGATTATATTAGGCCATGAGGGTGAGGCCTCCATCACAGGATGAGCGGTCTAATAAGAAGAGTAAAGAGATCACTTGAAGTATCTAACAAGAAAGTGGTCACCTGCAAGCCAGGAAGAGAGGCCTCTCAGAAAATGAATCACCTGAAACATTGAACTTAGACTTTAAGCCCCCAAAACTGTGATTGCTATTATCTAGGCCACCCTAGTATATGGTACTTTGTTATGGAAGCTGACTAATACAGGTATACATTTCACTTTTCTCTGTTTCAAATTCCTTTCTATCCTTTTGATGGTGAAGGTTCCAAATACGCCACAGTATTCCAAAAGAGAAGGAAGAGGAATTGTTGAAAATCCTGAGTTTCCAACATTGGGAAATTTTACAATCAATCTAACTATAAAATATGGCCCAATATAAAAAAAAGGCCATTCACTTTAGATCCTCAAAGCACTAATACAGTATTAGAATCAAAGAAGTTTTATATTTGACAGAACCACACTCAGAGTAATAAAGAAAATTAGCAAGGCACAAACCATCCCAGGCAGCAAGAAACACAAGGCTCCAATATAGATGAACACTGCAGATCTATTTATATGGAAACCCTCAGCAATTCTTGTCGCAGATTGCCTGGCTGCCCTCATGTCTTCAGTATTCTGTGCCATGAGAAAGTAACTGTCAAGGATAATAGGAACACAATTTGACCTACTTTCCCCTAGATTCTTGCAGTCTACAACTCTCAGTCTTATGTTTATTTAGCCATCACGTTTTGAGGGCACATTTGCTAGCTTTCTTTGCAGGCAATTCTATACACCACATGTTAAGGTCACCTGTAGGAAGTTCCAAAATTCTTCTGGTCGCTGACTTTAAGGACATCCAGTTGCACCCAGCTAATCTTCACATGACATCCTTTTGGGATGGAACACTGGCAGACCTAGACCAGAAGAAAATGCCTAGGAAAGCAGAAGGTAGCCTAGAAGAAGCTGAAGACCTTACACACATACATTCAAATTCTTCCTCACCAAAGGCAGCCACACCAAAACAAGTAACTCTCAATTCTCTCTCCGCAAATTGATGCTCAAGAACTAAGTCATCCACTAGGGTCTTCTTTCAAAGTGGACAACTAAGACTTCAAAGTGGACAACTAAGACTTCAAGTGTTAAATTACAGCCACAACCTATCTACATTGTTGCACCTCCTCAGAAAACACTAGTTATTGCTATAGAAATTGTTAAAACATTGAGTAGGACCCAGAAAAGTTGTCTCCAAACCCTGGTGGGGCAGAAACATTCACTGGGTGTCCTGACACCCTGGTCGGGCCAAATGAGAGGTTACAGATCCTGGAGGACATTGAGCAGGCCCGCTTCCCTTAACCTACAAAACATGTCTGACCTGTTCGGGCCAGTGGATGCACTGAGAACGCAATGAGGGGCACTCCATCAGGAAATCATATCTGCACACACACCATCAGGAAGTCAATATTTGACTTGAGATTCCTGGGGGAGTGCAACCTTCCAGCTCAAAGGGGGGGGGGGCGGGGTCCCTGCGCACTAGGTGCTGCAGGCGCCTCAGCCAGGAACGAGAAGCTCACCTAGGAATTTCCCATTCCTAGGCTTCCCCTGAGCAGTGTCTGCTGCCAGAGCCAGCTCATGCCTAGAGCCTCCAAGGGAACGGCACTCCAAGCACACACGTCGCGTGTGTCTGCAAACTGGACTCCCACTCGTGGGCCCGGGGCCGGCTGCGGGGCTGGGCACGGGACACCTGCAGCTTCCTCGCCGAGAAAAATGCAAACAGCGCTGGTGGGGCGAAGCCCAGCTCCCACAGTCTGAGTTGGGACCCCCCCCGGAGTCAGTCAGGTGCATCGGGGGAGGGGGGACCGTCACTCACCCCGCGGGGCAGCCTTCCCGCCTCGCCATCCCGAGCCCCACTCCCACAGAGTCCCGCACAGGGGCTCCCCTCCTGCTACCTCCCCAACTTTCAGCACCCAACCACCCAGAGCGGCCCAGGAGGGGGGCGCGGGCCCCACGTGTGCACCGCACCCCCCCCCCCCCCGCTCGGGCCGGGCCGGGCCACTCACCCGGCCCCCGGCGGCGCTCCGCTTCCTCCGCAGCGTGAGCCCGCTCCGCAGCAGCGCCGGCAGGTCCTTCAGGCGCGGCCGCAGCGACGCCGCGGGCGGCTCGCGCTCGGGCTCGCGGGCGCTGGGGCTGCGGCGCAGGGCGCCGTCCGCCGCCACCGCGGCCGCCGCCGCGGCCAGGGCCGGGCTCTCGCACGGCGGCTGCATCTTGACGGAGCCTACGGCCATCCTCATGCCCTGACGGCGGCTGTGGCGCCGGCGGCTCCTCTCCTCCGCGCTCGCCTCCGCGCGGCGTCCGCGCCTTGCTTCGCCAGGCAGGGAGCGAGCGAGCGAGCGAGCAAGCGAGGGCGCGACTGCGGCTCGGGCGCGGGGCGCGCTGCCAGCCGCTGCCCATTGGCGCGCGCCGCGGCCCCCGCGAGGCTCAGCCCCGCGCGCCTCCCCCTGCCCGCCCAGGTGCGCCCGCCCCGCCCCGCCCCGCCCCGTCCCGCCCCTCGGGCCGCTCACCTCTCCCGCCGGGGGATCCCAGCGCGAGCGGCGCCGGCGGGGGGCACCGTGGGCACCAGCTGCTCACAGGTGAGGCACTCCCAGAACCTTCCACCAAGCCCACTCCCCAGGCCTCTACCTGCCCCCCACCCCCTTAGGCTGAAAAGTCACCTTTTACTTCCACTTTGCGGGCAGCCAGGCTCGACCTGGGCTCCACCAAGTGAGCACAGTCCTCCTCCCCCACCGCAGACTGCACAGCCTCGCCATATCCTAATCTTTAATCCCCCCAGAACTTAAAATGAGCTCAGCCTGTAGGGAAAAAGCAGGCGCCGTGGGACAGAGTCGCTCCACGCTGGGTGAGCAGAGGAGAGCTTATTGCTTCTGATAGGTGTTTGTAGCAAAGTAGGCACGAGTCTAGTGACCAGAAGGTGAATCTCTGTTAACATGTTGGAACCCGACCTTCTCTGAAAGCCTGCTCTGTGTGTGTGTGTGTGTGTGTGTGTGTGTGTGTGTGATGAATGTGCGTGGTAAACCGTAAGGCTTACTGTGGTGTGAATCACGGCCTACACCGGTCCACGAGGCAGAAATTGGGGAGCACGGAGAGTGAAACTATCCCAAGAGGGCCTTAAACTTTGCAAGGGACAGGGAATCTTCATATCTCAGCTCCACCAGCCTTAACTATGGCTTTTACTCATCATTTGTGCCTATGACTTGAAGAGCTTTAAATACTCCTTTTCCTTCCTTCCTTCCTTCCTTCCTTCCTTTCTTTCTTTCCTTCTCTCTCTCTCTCTCTCTTTCTTTCTTTCTTTCTTTCTTTCTTTCTTTCTTTCTTTCTTTCTTTCTTTCTTTCTTTCTTTCTTTCTTGTGAGCAGATTTGTAAGAAGCCAGGGCCTTGAGTTGATTTCCTACTGTGCCCCAGCCCCTCACACTAGTAGCTGCTTGGCAAATATATTTGGAAATGAGGCCAGGTAAGGAAAAGGAAGAGTGATCTGTTATCTCTGCCCTCAAGGATAAAACTTATGGCTGGCTGTATGTAGATAAACATATGGAAAAAACAAATTCTTTCCTATAGTCTTGCTAATCACCAAGTGAATGTGGATACTAAGTACTTCTGGCCTCAGGAGGAAGAAGGCTTTTGGCCTGGGATGAGCAGACATAAAAGCAAATAAAGGGGGGCTGGTAATGTGGCTTAGTGGTAGAGTGCTTGCCTAGCATGCATGAAGCCCTGGGTTTGATTCCTCAGTACCACATACACAGAAAAAGCCAGAAGTGGTGCTGTGGCTCAAATGGTAGAATGCTAACCTTGAGCAAAAAAAAGGGAGGGACAATGCCCAGGCCCTGAGTTCAAGCACCAGGACTGGCAAAAAAAAAAAAAAAAATTAAGGGGAAGAAAGTTTGAACTGTGTGTTCAAGTTAGGCACAAAAGAGATTCAGAACCAAAAAAGGAAAATGAAATCTAAAAAAAAATCCCATAATAGTATCACACAGAACCTGCTGGACATTAAGGATTTGTCATTCTGGTGAAGAGAGGAGTATCATAATGAAAAAGTAGAAGAAAATACCAGAATAGATGTCGATGATACACTGTACAAAATTAAATTCTGTCATTAAGCTATATACATTTACTGAGAAGGACTCTATAGTGTATATAGTCTGTAACTGTTTCTAAATACCTATCATATATATTTTCCAAGGCTGAAATTCCACTTCTACATGCTATAAGCTTTTGTAGTGTTAAAAAATAATCTAACTCCAATGGGTAATCATTGCCTTAAGCTTAGAAATGCCACCATCCCACCCAACCCTCTTCATCTACTTCAAACTCCCCATAATACACCAACTAGGGGATTGGCACCTGGTTCACCAGAGACCCTCCAGGACAATCCTGGTAAATAGTCATACTTATATAAGGACAAAAAGGCCCTTTGTGTTATCCCATGAACCCATTCCACTCTCCAATGGAACATATGTATTATGTCTCCTAATTTAGGCTATTGGTTTTCACACATTTTCACAGGGCTCTCCAACTCAAGGCCAAGGAACCTGAACTTTATTCACATAGATTCTGTCTTGGAAAGCTGACTTAGGTTAAGGTGATGAGTGACAAAGGCTATGTGTTCAATGTATAAAAATAGGCAGAAAACTAGAAAGTGTAACCAAAAGAGCCAAGTGACTACTGAAGATAGCACAGTGTCCCACCCAAGTTGTACTGGCTGTACCCTCTTCCTGGCACCACCACCCTTGTGCACAGCCAATCAGCCATGCTTTCTACTCTGATGGAAATGCTCTACATCTGTTTTGCAGCCATTTGCCACGTGTGACTACTGAGCATTTGAAATGTGGCAAGTGTGACTGAAGAACTAAATGTGTAACTTTGTTTCATTTTAATTATATAAATTTAGATTGCTAGCATATGTCTAGTGGCTACCCAATATGGCACTGCACCATTCTAGAAACCCACATCTCTCTTATTCAACTCATTTCATTTCTTACATCAAATCTCACCATTTCAGTGGGCATTTCCATGTTCACAAGATTTTAGATTGCAGCCCTTCCCACCAACTCCTTTGCTTTTTCCTCCCCCAGCCCTCCACACAGCTTGCATCCAACACTCTATACATTTTACTCATTCATTTTGCCTATTTTCTGCCTCCCTACCAAAAGAAGTATATGCCCTGAAAGCGGGACACCTCCTCTGTTTAGTATGTTTAGCATGTAGAGCACATTAGTAAAATAATTGAATATGTCTGTATAGTTTTTCAAATGGAGACTAACCTGGATTTTTACATAAGATCTTTTTTTTTTTTACACAAAATCTCCTAATTTTTCAATATTAGAAGCTTGAAAATGTAAATACTATTTGAACAAACCCCACAAAAGTCAAAGAAAACCACTGACCAGTAATTTGTGACTTCCCCTAAAGGCTAGGATAACAGAATTTAGGAGAACCATGTCACCCATTGGTATGCTGAGAAAACACAATTTTGCTTTGCTTGGTTTGTGACAGGGTCTTCCTTTGTAGCCCAAGCTGGCCTGGAAATTGTTATATAGCCCAGGCTGGCATAGAACTCATGATCGTCCTGTCTCAGCCTCCCAAATACTAGGACTACAGGCATGTCCTGCAATGTCAGGCCCTGAGAAAACATGACTTTAATTGGCCATTGGCAGTGGGAGGAAATTGGAGAACAGAAAAAGCTCTGACAATAAACTAGATATAAAGTGATTAGGGCCTGAATTAGTTGTAGCAATGGAAAAAGAAACAGGGTTAGATGGCAGGCAGCACAAACCAAGGGTAGAAAGAGTAAAACATTACTTACTTGCCAGGGTGTTGAAGACTATATTTTCCAAAGATGAGCACTATGGCATCCCCTGTCTCCCAAGTCGTGCAATGTGATCTTGCCACTCCCCCTCCCTGAGGTTTTTTTCTGTATCCTTTTGAGTTTGAGCAAGCCTTGTGGATTTTTTGGCCCATGGAATACACACAAATGACTTCACCAGTTCTGTAAATAGCCCTTAATTGGCCTGGCAGCCTCTACTTCCTGCTATCTTGGAATGCTTGTTCTTCTTGTGATGTGCCCATTCAGAATCCAAGCTCCCTGCTTGTGAGAAGCCCAGTCTACATGGAAAGTTTGCATGGAAATGCTCTGACAGCTGAGCTCCCATTAAACACCATTAATTGTGGCCATTCATAAGCCATTTGGGACACTGAGTCTAGAAAAACCTTCAGATTAACTTCTGTACCAGCCAAAAATTTGACTATAGCCATATTTGAGAAGCACAAGGAAGACCTATCCAGCTAAGTCCCATCAACCCACCAAACTACAGGAAGAATAACAGATTGGTAAAAGACCTAAGCTTAAAAGGATTTGTTATATAACAATAGAGGCTCAGAATACATAGTTCAGAAAAGAGTGAAGAACATACTCCCTTGAGAATAAATAAGTTAGAAAGTTCATTTTTGTACATTCAGGAAGACACTAAAGAAAGTTAAACACACATATATATATATATATATGCATTCTGAAATGTGAATATAAGACCTATTCAAAAATATTTTTTCAGTGGCTCTAGATCTAGTAGAGCCCAGGAGGTAGAACAAGCTGGGTTTTGTAGGCTTTTGTTTTATGCAGCAATCACACTGACTAAACTACAGGACACCCAAGTGAAAACCCAGCCAACAAGAGGAGATGGTAAGCTGTAGCTCCTGAGAAAGGATTGGAGACAGATGTGCCAGTGTTCAAAAGCATAGTGGCACTGTGGCTCAAGTGGTAGAGCGCTAGCCAGAGTTCAAGCCCCACAACCAACCACAAAAAACAAAAACAGAGTTCAAAAGCATGAAGGTAGAGTGGCCCTCGGCCAGGAGATAGAGGAGGAGCAGAAGCTGTCTGCACCTTGCTAAGCTTTAGCCCTTGGAGAAGATGCTACAGATGACTGTATGGAATTGGGGACAGAGCCATTCATAGCGTTTCCCTATTGAATTATGTGGTTCCAGATAATTACCAGGAATACTAAGGACATCATGGATTTCCTGGGCTTTTCGTTGTGTTCTACCACTGCCTGCCTCCCTGATGGTCCATAATGCATCTCCAAAACATGACTCACCCAGTGCCACAGTTTTAAGACTTCGATATGTCTACTTTCTAGTCCACCCTTTCCTCCTCCCATTTTGAATTGTCCCTCTGAAGATGTCTTGTATTGCTTTGTCAGTTCTCAAAAATAAAATAAAATAAACCTCTTATATAATGTCATTTCCTATTCAACTCCGCCACCACTGCAGTAAGTAATGACCACA